ATCAAGAGCTTGGGATTTTTAAAGATCAATTTGACCCCCTGGCTGACAATGAAGTTCATAAAGTTTCTCCAACTTCAACAGAATTCTCAGGGAAATTAAATGCCCAGTTTTCAGAAGAGTTTAAACCAAAGTCGATGTCTTCGACTTTTGAAAACATGATTACATCACAAAAATTTCCTGCCCCAGAAGACCCCTTTGAAGTGCATCCTGCACCAGTTAAGGTAATTATTTAAAACAGTACTCTTTTTCTTGCTTAGTAGCTGTGCTTCCTTTATTAGTAGCTTGGCTGATTTTGGTGCTTGGAGTTTTTTCATGTCCAAAATTGGCCACTGATATAAGAATTTCAGACTCATACCACTTACTTTTTTCTGGGTAATTTGGAAAGAAAGAAACAATAGAGCCTTTGAAGGAAAGGAAGATATTTTTGGTAACATCATGAACAAATGGCTCCACTTTTTTGGTTCCGCTGTCTTGGAACATAACCTTAACCATTTTGATGATTTAGGGTCGGTTGTAGATATTCTCATAAACTTGTAAATCTTTTGTACATGGGAGACGCCCCCTTGGCACCTCATTTCAATATAATTTCTATACTTTAAAAAAATGGCCACTGATATAGAACTCTACTGGGAAAAGAGCTCACACGCAAAGTTGTCATTTTGGTAGGATAAGCCATAGTTTCTATTAAGCATCACTCCTACAACAGTTATAAATGGTTTATTATTATTATTATTATTTTGTTCTGAGTTAGATGCACATCTATATTTAATTTTAAATATGCACAAAATGTTATAAATTATTATTCTTCTTTTTTTTAAAGAGGAAAAAATAAACAAGATTAACAGGTATTAAAAGGGTGCAACCAATATACAAAGTTACAAAGAGAAAAGATTGATAATACCTACATCATACACAGGGGTATTCCTGATAAATTATTTTTCTAATGAGGACATGTAGAAACTAAAAATTGGAAGGATGCTAATATCAAGTAATATTGTGAAAATTATTGTCTAATTTCTAAATTTTCTATAATAGGGATCTTTAACAAATTTGGGACTAACTTTGTTTCTATTATAAATTAATTTCCTATTTTCAGATCATAGAACCGTCACCATTTATTTTCCTATTTGGATGTGTAAGAGTTAAGAAGAGTACCTCTACTATGGTTTAAGCCACACCTACTACGATATTTTTTAAATGAATTGAGAACTTTTGCAATTATTGGGATCTTTGTCTCTGGTTTGAGTTCTTATTTTCCTTTTATCTGTTTTTTGCTACTTCTTTTTCTCTATTCATCTTTGTAAATCTAGCAATCAAGTTGGCAGTAATTCTAATCTTGTTGTTGAAATGTAGTTGAAGATGTGGCTCCTTAAGTTTTATAACATATTTACTGTAATATACTATGCTATATATGCTTTAGTCAATATATTCATCATTTGTCCTCAGTGGTTCTGCAAAATCAGAAGTTCCTTGTTAACAATATTCCATGTTATGACCATTTAGTTTCAGGCTAAGCTGCTTATTTTCTTTTTTTATTATTATTTATTTTTTTGTCTCCTTTTGCAGACAGGAAATCTCGAGCTTAATGAATTTTATGATGAGTTTGTTCATGACATGCAAGAAATTTTACTTGACTCTAGTGTTAAATCTCTTGGGTCAAGGTTTCCTCAAGGTAATCCAATGTTTCAATCACAACCATCTCTACCTCTAAGAGATGGAGGGCGAACTGCTTCTACTTCTGGTGCAGATAATTCCTACCCTCAAGTTTTGCGGCAATCAAGAATTGATAGTATTGAAGTTGTTGGCGCAAAGCAAAAGAAAGGAGATGTCTCACTTAGTGAAAGATTAGTTGGGGTGAAAGAATATGCCGTATATGTCATAAGAGTGTGGAGTGGCAAGGACAAATGGGAGGTTGAACGTAGATACCGTGATTTCTTTACCCTCTACCGCCGCTTGAAATCATTATTTTCCGACCAGGGTTGGATTCTTCCTTCTCCATGGTCCTCTGTAGAGAGGGAATCCAGAAAGATATTCGGGAATGCATCTCCTAATGTTATTGCTGAAAGGAGTGTTCTTATTCAGGAGTGTCTACAATCTGTCCTCCCGTTCAAGGTTTTTTTCCAGTCCCCCAAGCGCATTAATTTGGTTTTTATCTCCTCAAGATTCATGCCCCAGTTCCCCTGCATCCAATGCACTAGTGTCTCAGTCTACGGTTTTCAACAGAGGCATAGATACAGAAACCATTTCCAGTTTGGGAAAGACTATATCACTTATTGTTGAAATTCAACCACATAAATCAATGAAACAATTGTTAGAAGCACAACACTATACTTGTGCTGGATGCCATAAACACTTTGATGATGGAATGACTCTAATGCGAGATATTGTACAGACATTTGGGTGGGGAAAACCCCGACTTTGTGTATATACTGGTCAGTTGTTTTGCTCTTCGTGTCATACAAATGACACTGCAGTTTTGCCAGCAAAAGTTTTGCATCAATGGGATTTTGGTCAATATTCAGTTTCCCAATTGGCTAAATCATATCTGGATTCTATTCATGACCAGGTAATTTGAAGACTGGTGCTTATCTTGCTGTAAGATGATGTTACTTGTTGATAATGCATATGAGATAAACTGATATCACATTAGCGAGCAAATGAAACTAGGGAATATGTATCACTAGCCTTTGTCTCAGGTGGCACTTCATTTCCCTTGGGTGAATGACAATCCATCTATATATAGGTCTTCCTTCTACAACAGCAGCACATTTTCTCCGCCCGCCAAGTAGCTTGATGTTTCATTGCCATCAATATCATTAGCATCTAACCAAAATCCTTATATTTATGGGTCAAATTTCTTTTGTTTATTTGCTCCTCTATCTTGAAGAAACTTTGCAGAATATACTAGATAATGCTCATAAAACAAAGAGCTCAGACAGCCATTTCTTTCAACAAGGCTCTGTAAAATTGCTGTAGGTAGGGAGACTAAAAATAGTGCAATACTTCCTTTATCCTAGATCCAGGACATCTTGTGCTTTTTCTGGAAACGAATAGTTGTAATTTGATAAGCCTGCACATTCTTTGCATGCTAATATATTGTAAAATCTTAGTTTTGTTCAAAAAGAACGTTTTAAAATATTGCTAAGTACTAAGTATCGGTTAATGCACTTTTGGGACTATTCTAATGTCTAATGAATTCTATCCTGCAGCCAATGCTCTGTGCTAGTGCAGTTAATCCTTTACTATTCTCAAAGGTGCCAGCCCTGAATCATGTCATGGGCATTAGGAAACAGATAGGAACTATGCTTCCATATGTTCGCTGCCCATTCCGTAGGTCAATCAACAAAGGACTTGGGTCTCGAAGATATCTTCTTGAGAACAACGATTTTTTTGCACTTAAAGACCTGATTGATCTATCCAAAGGAGCATTTGCAGGTAAATTTCTGATCACAAGTTAACTGCTAATGTATATTTTATGGGTTGATGGGAATCGACCCAGAGGAGCATGATGCAAGTAATGATTATTTTTTATGGGACAGAATTAGAGGATCCAGTCCGTTTGCTCCTTCAATTTTCACTTGGTTGATAAAATGTACTTTTTTTGCTTTCAAAAAAATTTAGGTCAACTTTTTAATTTTCCCATGTCTATAGAAATATATATATATATTATTTTTGAATTTATGTTAAAAGAAGCTTATACATTCTCCTTTAGCAACAATTGGCTGACAGCTTTTAGGAAAAGCAGTTTGGCTGTCTCAACTAAGCTTTTTGGTTTGTGGGAGAGAAATCTGAATTAAGCTAAATAAGTGATTGGAGTCGGTTAATTGCTTTTAGTCTGGTTTCTGCACTGTTTCCTTGAAATGAAATAATGTTGCAACTTGGTGAGTGTTGTTATGAGTTGTTTCACTGGCTATGTGAAAATAGCAATAGAAGTTTGGAATGAAACCAACAAGATAGTAGAAGTTGAGGCCTTGATGAATTGTAGAAGACTACTTGGAGTTTTCATTTTATATATTTATGTACACTATATACAAATGGTACATAGTTGTGGAAAATGAAGTGAAAATATAAAATTAATTTAGGAAGAATAAGATATTGTTATCAATCTCATGTCACATTTTTCACTATTACTTTGCCAGCCTTGTTTTCATTTAAGTCTTATGTTTTATGTATCAAGCATATGAATCTACAAAAATAAAAAGCCAAAACAATTTTCTAACAGGATCTTAGTGTTTGGAAGATGAAGCCTTTGATGATTGTCTCATCAAATTATTCATATTGACCACTAAATAGATAAATTCCTCGGACATGAATGAGGCCTCTCTTGTTGCTTATAATTCTTTTTTATAGATCAGGAGGTGGTTTCGAGCTGCTAATATCTTCTAAGGTGCTTTGCTCAAGTTATTCTATCTTTCTCAATGGCAGTTCTTCCTATGATGGTTGAAAATGTTTCAAGAAGAATTCTGGAGCATATTACGGAGCAATGTCTCGTATGCTGTGATGTAGGAGTAGCGTGTGGTGCTCGACAAGCATGTGATGACCCATCCTCCCTTATATTCCCTTTTCAGGTGAGTACCTATACAGTAGACACAAAGTCATCGTCATCTTTCATTTTACTTTCCTTACAATCAAGATTTCTGTCTTTTATTGAATCCAAACTCAAAACTGACTAATGGTAAAATAAGTTCCGAATGAACAATGTTTCTTCTGTCATATTCATATCCAAGAGAGGATGTCTTGGTTTTGAGACTTTTCCTGGAAAAGCTGAAAACAAGCATCATGTTGCATGATATCAAATCTTGACCGTCTCCACCAACATAATCTGACTCTTGAAGAATGAATAGCAGGAAGGTGAGGTTGAAAAATGTTTGTCTTGTGAATCAGTCTTCCATAAGCCTTGCTTTAGGAAGCTCACAAATTGTCCGTGTCTCAAGGTGGTTGATCTTGTTGGATCCTCTAACATGGCCAATGGTAGTGTCGATGGTGAGGGAAACAGAGGACTGGATGTGTTGGGGAGGAGACTGGGTTCTGGGCTGCCTGTGGGATTCCTCTCTAGTTTATTTTCTAAGACAAAGAGTGAGAGGCTGGAACGCAAGGATAGTGACACTGTCATTTTAATGGGTTCTTTGCCAAGTAATACCTTGTAGTTTACAATCTTTAGTGTATCATTTATCTTTTAGCTTGATTTTGTATTTTAGTGGCCAATTTGTTGAGAACTTGTATGGAAGTTGAATAAGGATATAAGTAAACTATATCTTTGCGTCCAAATATATAAGGTGGGATGCTGCACCCTTTCACATTTTGTCCCTTCTTTTCTTTGTAAACAATAGAAAAAGAAATCTTTGTGGAGTCAGATTCTTTTGTAATAGAATTTAATTCAACTGTTTTCTTCTTATATTTTTTTCAACCCTGTTTATCAATTGTTGTTTGGAACAAAAGTCTGATTAGCTTTCACATGCTTGGCAAGTGAGAGAGAATAAGTTATAAAACTTTTTAGACAATGTAGAACAAGGAAAATAAAACTAAACCCGATTTGCATGGACAAGAATTATTATATATCATTTTCTTTTTATTACATAAAAAAGTATTGGCACGTGACAATGTCAATATAATAACAACATCGTATAAATTATTTTGGCTGATGGCAGTACCTTTATGTGGTTGCCTTTTGGTTTTCTTGGTTTTTAAGTGTGCCATTGGATAAT